ATGTTCAAAAAGACGCTATCTCGAAATCGCATTTGCATCAGGGGACACATCGCACAACTTAGCTCCTCACTTGAAAACGACTGCTATTTCTACACGAAGTTTCTCACCAGTGTGTTTTTCAAAGTTTTCCATTCCATTTCTTGGGTGCTACTATTAGGATATAAGCCAACTGATTAAGTGATTAGCCATTGGATTAAAACAAAGCCACTATTAAATAAGGCTGCTACTTTTCATGTAGGAAACCATTTTAGACAGAACGCCAAGCAATAGCCGAATAAAAGAATAATTAATCCAAAAAGATAAAAAGTGGTTGTACCTGAGACAAAAAACAGAAACACTAGAGCTGAAATGAATGCCATTTTCGGCGTATCTCGAAGAAGAAACTGGACGAACGAACACTACTAGGTCACGGTCGTTGAATCAACTCCGTTGCTGTCGCCTTCCTGTGTAAAATCCCCGACTGACCTCATTCGGTTTTCATTAATATTCGGCACCCAATTAGGATTAAGACGTCACCACCAGTCGAGGCTGGTTCACCGTTTCGACACGGCCAGTGTTATTATGAATTACCGACTGCTCCTATTCTTTTGCAAACAAAGGCAGCTCCGTCCAATATTAATAAAAGCACAATAAAAAGTGTGTACCAACAGCCATTGCTCATCAGGTGCTTCGGTCTGATGTAGTGAGAACAAAAGTAGGAAGCTCACTGCGCTGCTCATCTCAATCGGATAACTGGCAGGTTGGCCCAATGCCTGAAATGGATCTGAAATATAGGATACTTAAAAACTGGTGAAAACAACAAAATGTTACTATTACTGGTGCTATGCCAACAGCTCAATGAAATTTTCACCCACCTCTAGTGACGTCTCTGTAAAAAATGCTCAAGAACTCGAACCGTTTTTAAAACACAACTCATTAGTAGCCCACTTTCTCCAGTTGTTCACTGTGAATCGTGTTGCTTTCAACCGCCTTCGGAAAATGTGTTATAGCGGTCAGTGGCGTGGAGGAGGAAAAGCGCGTTCAAGTAGACTCCAAATTTTCCAGTACTTTCTGTTCTGCAAACCTCGTATGTCAATTGGTTCAACAATGCTCATTTTTCTTAGAAATTGACTGCATTGACTTTAGGCACTACATTATCTGGACAGTAAAACAATCTAAAGTGCCTATTATCGGTCCATAACTGGCATGCCATCAGCTAGCAGAGTAAACATCACCATTTCGAGACTTGATTATTCTGAAGTCCTTTTAGCCTTGCCATCTGTACTACTACGTAACTGGTAGTTAACACAATGGAAACATTTTTTAATTTTTAAGTTTACACGAGGTTGATGTACAGATTTGTTCGGCTAGCACTTCAACGTCTTCATCTTCATCAGAACCGATGATTGGAGTCGGTGGTCCACAGTTGTTCTTCTTCTCGAGTCTTTGTTGTCGTATCAAGACGGACCTTCTTCAGCGAACACGGCTCGAATGACCCGTGCTCACTAGGCAGCGCTCTTTTATACAGTGCGGTTGTTGTTGAATGGAAACAACTCTAGGGCGCGCAAAACGTTTCCAGGTGAAGCGATAAAAAGTTTAGATGTGGTAGTATCACACTATTGAAACATTTACAAACGCTGGTGCTCTAGAGTTATACAACAGCTTATCAACAATGTTAGCCTAAAGAACTTGAAAAAGGTGGTGTGAAGTAGTTGGTGTAGCTACCCATTTCTAAATTGCCTAAGTAATGCAACGAATGAGTTTATCATATCCTTTAACAACACGACGCATTCTTCCCCAGATTTTGTGAAGAACAGATGATTAGGATGATATCACATTCCCTCTTCGTATGCTCTGCTCCGGTTCTTCGTGTATTACTAAGGTCCTATGAATATATTTCTCTGATCTCGAAGCAATGGTGTTGCTTAGGTGTCCCAAGTGGAACTTTGGAGCAACTACGACGCCTAAGCGGTGAAACATTTGATTAAACACTTACAAATCCATTTTTGACCTTCGTGGAACATTAGTCCAAGCAATAACACTTCTGGGTATCGAACTGCGATTTTCATTAAGAGGTAACTCATGTTGACAAGGATTCTAATCCAGTCTCGGGTCAACAATGGTCAAAATACCTCATCTGGGGATAAAAATGGCAAGTTAGGATCAGTACAAGTTCTTTAGAATTATCTAGTAGCTTCTTTCAACCGTGAAACCTGAAAGACATCGTTCATGGCAGTGTGATAATTTGTTGGACAGGAGAGTAGTTATCTTTTTGAGGTTTTGAGTTTTTCCTGCTTAGGTTATGGTAAAGAGCCGAGTAAACTGAATATCACTTTGACCTTTCCAGGTTCTGAAGAAGGCGAAACCGTCCAAACGTTACCTAACGTGAAATAAATATTACGCTAATAAGTTCATGCCTGCTTATCAAGAAAACGTTAACTTTTCTATCTATGCTGACGTTGCCAGAATATCGGCTCTGAGAAGGAAATGGTGGTTTCACCAAAGTGAATACGGTGGATACATTGGTTATTAGCTGTCGACTCTCGATGAGATTTTATCCAAGTGTTGTAACTTCTGAAGCGCGCTGTTTAGAAAACATGAAGTCGACTATTTTCCACCACCATACGACAGTAGACGTCATCCCATGCGACCTCCACGCTATAGTTCCATCAAATGTATAACATTTTTGTGGCGATAATCTACTTTTTTAAAATTTTACATGATCCGTTATCCCATCTATTGCGCGGAGATCACCACTTCTTGCATTCGATTCGTTTCGTTCGCATCCATCACCCACAATGGCACCCAAACATTCCGCTTCGATTTGTTTCAGCTGCTGCTTGAGGATTTTTTACTTCATACTTTTTTCATTTGACCTATCTTCACGTCTACTGTGCGAATCCTAGCACTTTTCACATTCGATTCGTTTACTCGCATCCATCACCCACGAAGATCTTCCAACTTTTATGTGTTAGTTCGGCTGCTGCTTGAGGATCTTCATTCCATCTCGAATATCGTAGAATGCCGGTTGAGCAATTCTCCCCGGAGTCCTGCAATAGCAGGGCTGGAGTGTTCCCATTTGGATTGCACTTAGTGATTTTTTCCCATACAAGTCCGGTACCAATTTCCCGACCCCAGAGGGATAAGAGGCCTGGTGAGACCGGAGTGGAATAGAACTAGCACCATCCCCTCCGTGATAAGGGACGTCACACTACCACTATGCTATCCGCCCCTGCTTAAGGATTTCTCTTCTTTATCAATTTCGTAGAATGCCGATCGGGTCTATTCTTTTAGAATCCTGGAAATAGCCGACCCTAAGTAGACTGGCGGAGAGCGTTGGAGTGGGGGTCGAACTACTGTCTTTGGTTACTGATCGAGGGCATCGTTCTCCACTGCGTCATCTCCACACCGGCAATAATGTAAGGCGTAAAGAAATCTGACATCCTAGTTAGATGAAAATCAAGGCGCATGTGGTGAAGTGGTTAGATGTGCTTTGCAATACACACGTGGTCCGTGGTTCGATCCGAGCTCACTGGTCCTTCCATCGTTTCCGCGTCAGAAAATTGGCACCACACTTGTTTGGTGGCAGCACTGAATTGGTTCAGCGGTAGGCCACCGTAGATTACATGGGCCATGGTCATTCAGTCACCTCTAAAAACGCTTAATGGATTGGAATGCATAGCGCTCCCCTAGAGGACTGATCAACGCCGAACGTTTTACTTTGATGAACATCAAGTTTAATGCATAAATGGTCGAGAATTGCGGGATTCGGTTCAGCGTATTTCTGCAACCGTCACAAGCAATGCAGTCGTGCCTTTCTTCATGGACTTCATAGTCTCAGAACACTGCCTCAATCAACTGTACATAACACAACCCCTTTCATTCCTAGCATATTTCGACGTAGTCGTATCGGTTCACTATTGCCTACCATGAGTCCTCTCTTTACTAACAACCAAGAACGCGAGCTCCACTGAAGTTATACTTGGATACTTACTTGGACGCTTGGATGGCACATCCTCACTGGTTGTGAGGGCCACAGCATAACTTCCATTTATTAGAAGTTTTGCTGGTTTAGCCATTGTGGTTCGTTGGATCGCTAGGTAAGCCTATCCCAAGTTTTCCCCAGGTCGTCACCACTCCAGGCAGTCGCTGCAGTTGTGAATGTATATCGTAGCTCGACACCCAGGAACACATCCCAGCGACGATGAGGGGATAAACCGTTGGGAGGGTTCCCCCATGCTACGATGATGAAATTCCAATTTTCTGGAACCCATAACACGGTCCTTTTCCATTTCATCGTGCTAAGGTTCACATTTCGAAAACGAAGCGAAGTAAACGAGCAGGATTTCGTCCAGGACGATTGTTTTGGTGCTCTCCAATGTGTACCTTTTGTCGAAAACTGCCGCCTTTGGATTAGAAAACTTAAAAACCACAATCTCGTTTCTTTGAAAGCTTTAATCTTAAACTTTAAAGGATAACAGGAACTAGGAATTACATATGCGATTAATGCGATGGAATAAAGGCCTTTATATGGCTCCACAGAGTCCTCGGAACCTCCAGAGTACTGCTAATTCCGATCATACGCGTTACTTGCTGTGTTCTCGCCAGTACTAAGGAATGGCGCAACACAGAAATGGACGCAAATTGTCGTACGTGCGCTCTTGCAGGCGGGAAATTCAAAAGTTCAAGATGCTTTACTTGTTTAACATTGCCTAATTCTTGCCTCTAAGATCCTTTGAAATCTTTTGATTCCGTTTTCATTCTTTCGTCGCTGCCAATTTTCGGTTTACCCAAATGTTTTCTGATAACTGCATGATGTGGCGAGCGCGTAATGTATTTGCAATCTGTGAAAGGAATCACCAGTGGTCGAGGTGCACCCATAGTTAAATCAATCCTACTAATTCAGTTGTTTGTCGGTACCTGAGGTCCAGTAGCTCAGTGAGCGAACCTATGAGTTCTATTCTGACTTTATCAACACCTCAAGCTTCAAGTTAGCGTCGTTTGCCTGCAGTTCCTTGCAAATGATCGACAATTTTAGTGAAGTCATATCAATAGTATATCTAAGTATAAGTCCAGATGTCGTTGATAAAGTTTGCAGAAGCGCTTTTCTGCTCTGCATTGTCATAAATTTCACATTCTATCTATGCGTAGCGCAGCGGTCTCAGGAACCCACACATGAGCTCGATCCTCGCAAGCCTTCCATCCCTCTGGCGTCGGCAAATTGGTACCAAACGTGTCTGAGATGATAGCAAGACTGGCTCGATGCATCGGTAGCTCGATACATTGGTACGCCACCACGAGTCATTGTAAAGGTACATATGCATTCAATCACCTCCGAACGATGCTTAATGAAATCGAATGCATGGCGCATCCCTCGGGGGATTGATCAACGCCGAGAGCTTTATCCTTCTTATTTCATCTGTTTGTTTAAAAACGTCGCAAGTGGTGCATCTATACCTAGGTGACTTACCAATTTTGAGGATTCTATAGAATGTTTAGGTGTTAAAATGTTCTTAAGGTACCAAAATCTCAAGTGGTGGGATCTGGGTAGCTACCAAGCGAGGTACTTCCAGTGCCAGGTATGTTTTCTTCAACATCCAATCGCATCTCTATTGTGAAAAAGTTGGAAACCTTGTGGCCTTGTTCTACCGTTCTTTATCATTTTCATTTAAGCTGAGAGATAGATGAACCGATGTCTTGTGATCTGGGAAAGTTCGACAATCTGAAGAAGATAGGAGAAGGTACATATGGTGTTGTTTTCAAAGGAGTTCACAGGAAATCGGGAAAACTCGTGGCGCTGAAGAAAATCAGCCTTGAGCGGTTGGAGACATTCTTCTTGACGGCCTTTTATTCTAAAGCTGTTTAGACCTATCGTTTAGAGACAACGAAGGTGTTCCTAGTACTTGTATCAGAGAAATCTGCCTACTTAAAGATCTCAATCACCGAAATATTGTGCGGCTTTATGACGTCATCCACTCTGGTAAGTGCGATTTAGAACTCTACGGTGGTTCTTCCGCTGAACATCGTTATCAACACATATTTCCAGGTATGCAGCTGTACCTGGTGTTCGAGTTTATCGATCGAGACTTGAAGAGTCTTCTGGATAGTTTACCAGGAAAACGTTTGCCATTGAAGCACGTAAAGGTGAAAGTACATTTGCGTGTTCATATGTCCGCATCACAAGTTTCGATCGCATATATGCCCACCTGTATGGCTTTTAGCGGCGCGTGTGACGTAGTGGTCAGAGGTGCCCTGCGGTACACTCACATCACGCGGGTGGCTCACCAAGCCTTCCATACCTCCGGGGTCGGCAAATTGGTACCAGACTTGCCTGGGAGGATAGCATCACTGGCTCGATACATCGGTAGGCCACCGCGATTCATTGTAAAAGCCAGATGTGCATTCGGTCTCCGCCAAGGATGATTAATGAAGTTGAATGTATGGCTAATCCCTCAGGGATTGATCAACGCCGAGAGCTTTATCCTTTATCCTTCTTATAAGGCTTTTTCTAGGTACAAGTTCTATGAATATAAGTTCTTCAGAGCTTTTTATGGCAACTATTGCAAGCCCTTGCATATTGTCATACACGGCGGGTTCTGCACAGAGATTTGAAGCCTCAGAATCTTCTTGTGAATAACAGCGGCGTCATAAAGCTGGCCGATTTCGGACTTGCTAGGTGGGTGAGGTATTTAGAGTTGTAGGCTCCTGTCTTACGTACAGCAAATTCGTCAAGTTTCTTTTAGTACTTTATGAATCAACATATTTCTTTGTATTATTTAGCTTACACGAGGCTACTATATGACTTTTCTTCTGCTAATGCTTCGACGTCTTCGTCTTCTTCAATAACAGCCTCGTTTAGGGTGAACAATCCGAAGAAAAGTGTTCTCGATATTCTTGCTGAGAAAACACGAGGCGTCTCCCCTACCCTTCCGAGTTGTGAAGAAAGCGATACTGCCGAAACGTCAGCTTTAACCGAATTAAGAGTAAAGTAACACTTCATGTTTGCTCAACAGGAATATCGAGAACTGTTCGTTCAATGCCGAGGTTAGTAGAAAGTCGGTCGTGGGAATCCAAAGGAATATATTGATTATTCGTGCCAAGGTCAAGTGGAAGTCTGTTTAGTAAAACATACTTTGTGAGGCGTTGTTCTTTTTTCCACTGAACTAGGAAATACGCCTGTTTACAGAAATTTCTCCATTCCTAGTCGCGTATACACTCATGAGGTCGTTACACTTTGGTACCGAGCTCCAGAGGTTGGTATCGAGGCTCATCGCCAACTTAACTAACAGTCTTCGCTTTAACATTCTCTTTTTTGATTCTACTGGGAAGTCGTTACTATTCAACAGCGATTGACATATGGAGTCTGGGATGTATTTTCTCTGAGATGATGTCTGGAAGTGCTCTGTTTGCTGGCGACTCAGAAATTGATCAGTTGTTTCGGATTTTCAGAATACTTGGCACACCAACACCTGAGGTTTGCTTCATGATCATAATACACTTTTCGATTGCAATACACCCATTTTTAGATGTGGCCGGGAGTCGAGAAGTTACAAGACTACAAGAGAACATTTCCGAGGTGGTCTTTCAATGCTCAAGCTCTTACTGCTGCCACAGACCCGATGACTGAAGATGGCGTGGACCTTCTTAAGGTGAAGTGTTGCTTTTTATTTGCAGATAAAGCTAAGATGTCAGTGCTTCTACGCACTATGGTACAATCCCTTGAACTGTTTATTTATATTGGAGTAATTCATTTAAACCGCGCATCCACCACAACGGTAGATCGTCACGTCGAATTTAAGCTCTTCTTGCGTGCCCAACAATTATAGCCTGTAGAAGTTACAGTAACTAAACTAAGCAAAAACAAGTGATTTCTTCAAAAATGAGTTCCATCTATAGGAAATGATTCGATACCCACCCGAATCTCGCATTACGGCAAAGACAGCGCTAGGCCATCGGTATCTACGAGATGTAGTTCTTCAACCACCTGAAGTTACACCTCTTCTTCCTACGCCGGGTTCATCCGGCTCTCGAAAGGAATGTGCTATCGGGTCCCACGATCTAGAGCTCTGACGTGATTAATGTAGTCATATTGAACATAACGGTAGTGAACAGCTGTTACATATCCTAGTCATCCTATGTATGAATGTTGCTTTATGCATGTTGTCATTGAGGATGGTTTCCCAAAAAAATCGTCGTTGTTGTGCGGTTTATATGTCTCTCTGCTGTTGATTTTAACAAAATAATCAGTTCTACCACTATTTAACAGCTTTTCGTGAACAACGAGAATAAAATATGGATATATTTTATGCAGAGCTGAAACTTAAGGCACAGATACAGCATGTACGGAAACCCCGGGTAAAGGAAGTACGACTAGAGATCGGCGAATATTTGATTGAGGGATGACATAAACACTTCCAATAGTATACAATGCTGAGATATTTGCAAAAATCCGGACCGCAGATGTATGCGGTGGGGTACGAACGCGCGCTATTGTCCTTACCGGGGAGTAGCGTACTTCACCACCACTCCATCCAGGTCCTTCGTTTTGCCTGTCTCTCAGCTAGTTCTGTCGATCTTTTGCCATTTGCCACTTCCAATAGTGTTAACTTTCTACTTACCGCCTGTTACAATTTTTCACTACAGAGTATTATGTGCGATATAACTGTAATCGTGCTGAAATATTTGCAAAACTCCGGAATGCAGGTGTCCGCGGTATGCAGCGAACGCGCTATTACCCTTTCCGGGGGCTAAAGCGTTCACCACCACACCATGCGAGTCTTTCGTTTCGCCTTCCTCAGGTGGTTTTCTCTCTGCCAGTGCCATGATCAATCACTCGTCAGTGGAATTGATCTGGCTAGCACAAGTTGGCATTGAACCGAATTAAACTGAGGCTTTAATCGAAATCACAATATAGTTGTATCACACACTTCCAGTAGTGGGTATTTGACTGCTCAATTCAAATTTACCATTTTACTGCAATTCCCAAGCTTTTTGGTGTACTCGTTCTTTTACGTTTATTTCTCATCTAACCTAGTTCGGAGTAGTTCCATCATAATCGCAAATCCTGGTAATGTCGCAGCATTCATCTGTGTCGGTAATTGAAAATGTCAACAAGATCCTGTAAACGTTAGCTGATTAGCAGAGGTGTGTGGAAATTATAAAATAACCCAACTAATGGCTAGGCTCCTCCCAACGGTTTACTGCCTCATGGTGGCTGGAAGGTGTTCTTGGGTGTCGGAGTGCGATGTACAGCGGGGGATTCATCCCCTGACAGGGTTTCCCAAGCTGAGGAGTTTGGCGTTTCCATAAGAAAGGCTAGCTAAGAGTAAACCAACAACAGGATCCACCTTCCTGGTGTCAAAGTCGCATGGTGGTAAATCTCCCTCTGACCCATACGGGCTGCAACTGCCTACGATAGTCAAGACCTGGGCAGACCTTTTCCAGGCTCACCTCGGGAATCCAGAGAAGCGCAATGGCTTAACCAGCAAATCTCCGAAAAAGTGGAGATTATGCTGGGGCCCGCACAACCAATGACGACAGACCATTCAAGTGTCAAGTAATGGATAGGTTCAATAAAAACGAGTAACAGGTAAACGGTGGCAAGAAATGAGTAGCTTGTGCGTAACCTCTTGACAACGGCTGAGCTCTAAAGGAAGTGAAAGTGCCGAAACCTTAGCCACTGTCAAATGGAATTTCGACTTACGTTTTCTCTGCTCAGAAAAAAAACATTAATTTATCGATCAATGCCGAGGTTAGTAGGAAATCAATCCTGGAACTTATTTTACTTCCTACTTTGCAGTTCTTACCTACAACCAGTAATTTTCACGTTGACCTTTTAGTTGCTAGCTGCGTTCAGTTCTTTATTTGGGCCTTGTACTTCGCACGAAACATCTACATTTTTTGTCAACAGTACTAAAATATTCTGGACAATAATGGTTTCTACACGGCTGGATCTCGTGCTAAGCTGCTTAGCGCGCCCTGCAGTGTACACGCAAGTGATGTGCAGAATGATTGTCTTTCGAGCTGCGCGCGAGATGTCTACTGGTGTCTGAGTACGAGTCAAATTTGGATAGTTAAGTCTTCATAAAAAAAAGATGTTCTCGGCTTCGGCTGCGCCATGCACTCGACTTCATTAAGCATCGCTGGGGGTGGCTGAATGCATATCTGGCCTTCACGATGATTCATGGCAGCGTACTGATGTATCGAGCCAGTGCTGCTATCCTCCCAGACACGTCTGATACCAATTTGCCGACCTCGGAAGGATGGAAGAGTTAGTTGGTCAGGGGCGCTCGAATCGATCTCGTATTGCAGGGCGCCTCCGACCACTGCGCCACACTCGCCTTTGTATTATATATATATATATATATATCCGTACAGACAATAAGCGTATAACGTAATCATGCAGAGAGACGGTCTTACAAGCAAATAACATATCATGTCGCTCAACTAAAAAGATGAAATTCCAAGTGGTGGATAAAACGTAAATAAATGGATTTCTAACGGAATGGCAATCCTTACCCAATGTTGAAGAGTCAGTGAGGATTCATTCCATCTGTGGCGAGTTGAAAACGTCTAGCATGGCACAACATCGATATAGTAGGTGATCATGAGGTGATTATTGCGGAAACAGATTGCATAAGGTGTAGGTGCAGCGTGGCCTTTTTTTCTTTTTTGCTTGACCCAAGCCACTCATTGTGCGGATCCAAACCCTTCTCGTATTCGATGCATTTCCTCGCACTTTCATTCACAAAGATACTCAAACTTTTTGCGTGTGGACTCGACTGCTGCTTGAAAATTTGGTTCTTTTGTGCGAATTCTGTTAGATAGTGCTCAAGTGGATTCTCTCAAAAAATTTTTTGAACCCATGGAATAGATTTGCTAGGGTGGATTGGAGGGAGCGAGTGGATCTCAATTCAATCATTCTGGTACCAATTTCCCGAGTGGAGGGATGGAAGGTTTGTTAGGCTCCAAGAGGAGTAGGACCCTCGCCTTGCTCGAAATCAACAGTAATACCACTGAGCTATCAGCGCACTACGTATGAATAACACTACACGAATAACGCAATAAACATATTATCGCACGAAAAGATAAATAATATCCTATATGAGGTGGAGAGCTGTCCCAGAATATTCTTTGGAAGGTAAACAATTGGCATTAACTGCAGCATATCTCCAATTGAGAGCTCATAATATGGCCGAGTAGTGCCTAACACACCGTCTTCTATGCTCTAACTCTAGTGTTACTGCCTACTTTAGCGAAAGGACAAATAAACAACGTACAACCACTCCTGCGTTGTCGAGCTATCTATTCATAGCGGTAGTATTTGTGTAAAAATACATAACATTTCACAAATCCATCCCGAAATGCTCTATATCGCTTGTTATTGCAATCTTCTTCCTACAGTGCTTCCGATCGCTGAAGTACATCAGTGCACTCTGATGTGCAGGCAATTCTGGACCCCACTGCACGACCATTGTGTCGATATAATAAATGAAAAAATTTAAACCTCTATTCAATTTGAGGTCATGCGTAGCTGGGAATCAGGAGGAACCACATGGCAGAGCACACACAACAACGACGACAAAGAAGCTACACCGTAATCGCGTTTGAAATGCAGTGTGTTGAGAAACAAACGGAATGTTGTATTACCAGTTCTACAACGGAATGCAAAGAAAATGCTACAAGTAAGAGGTGCCTATCGAGATCGCCATGAGTTCATTGCAGATGAATTCGCTGAAGAGATTCGTAGCGCGTGTTCCCAATGCTCGAACTCGACAGATGGACTCCCACTCGAAGATGCATTTAACCTAGAACACATCTTGAAGCAACAATCAAATAGCGAATCTCCTGTAGATGGAAATACCTCGACATGATCAACATTTCATTTAAAAAGGCTGCCTTGTCTATCGTTGCATTCAGTGTTGAACACATAGCGACAAAACTGTTTTGTATTTTCTAAAAAAGAAACACGAAAGACAAGATCATTGTGAAAATACGCCTAGTTGAAAGCAAGTAAAATAAACATAATAATATCCACCTCCTCCCAACGGTTTAAAGCCTCATCGTGGTTGGGAGGTGTTCCTGGGTGTCGGGCTGCGATGTGCAGCGAGAGGACTGGGTGGATTCGTCCCCTGGTAGGGTCTCCCAAGCTGAGGAGTCCGGCTTTCCGTCAGAAAGCCTAGGTGAGAGTAAACCAATTCCAGCATCCACCACCGTCCTGGTATCAAATTTGTCGCATGGTGGCAAATCTCGCTCTGATCCACAAGAGCTGCGACTGCCTGTGGTGGTGACGACCTGGAGCAGACTTTGGTCAGGCTAACCTCAGGACTCCAGGGAAACAATAGCCGAACCAGCAAAAGTCCGAAAAGTGGAGAATGTGTTGGGACCTGCACCATCAGTGAGGACGGGCCGTTCATGTATCGAAGTATCCAAGTATATCTACCTTAGAAATATCTTCCGTAAGTGACACGGAAGCCACAGCTTTACGACTTTGCTGTAAGAAAATGCGCTTCTCGCGAACGTCACTGATTGACAGTGGTGTTCCAGACAGTTCAACCGGAATGCGGAACGGTGTCTAAATCGACAGTATTACTTCGTAAGTAAAATACAAAGTGACCGCCCATAATAGAACGAGACAAGAAACTTGTTGTACCACTAAAATGTCCGTAAGTTGGCGCCTACCTTGAACAACCTTGATTCTTTTCTAGAGAGAATCATAATATTGTAGTCAACGTCCATCGGTATTTTATAGAAACTGTAATTGTATTCCATCTTCTGAGCAACAACCAAGTCTTCCAACACTTTCAAATTTTCTTCAACTGAAAATAACGACCTGTAAAACACTTCCAAACTAAGCACTGTTCTCACAATATTAGCTCTTATTTGCTGCTTATTACGATTTTTTATGGCAAGGTGTCATGTGAACTACAACCAAGGTGATGCTGAGATATTTGCAAAACTCCGAACCGCAGGTGTCTGCGGCGGGGAACGAACGCGCTATTAACTCGAAAGACCGACTTTCTATTAACATCGGCATAGATAGTTGACATATTTATTTATGTGATCTTATAAACTATTTTCTTAAGCTGACGCGAGGTTGAAAGCTTCCTCAGGAAGGCGATGTCGCCGAAACGTTAGCCATCGATCAATAACATCAAAACAACGACAACGACAACGAAGACCTGTACCAACCTCGCGTCAGCTTAAGAAGAACGCGCTATTACCTTCCCCAAAGGCTAACGCGTTTATCACCACACCATGCGGGTCCTTCGTTTCGCGTTTCTCAGCTAGTTTTCTATTTACCATTGCCATCAGCCGTCAACTGGATTGATTTGAGGAGCACAAATCGGCATTGAACCCAGTTTGTTCCCCACTGTAGGCACCTGTGGTCCGGAGTTTTGCAAATATCTCAGCATCACCTTGGCTACAAGAATAGTTCTCTTTACAGACGTTTGACGATATTTAGAACGAGATCCAAATGTATAATGAGATGAAACATGTTCACATTAAGTTGGCTTAACACTCCAGCAAAAGGAACACGTACCGAAACCACTAACTGGAGAAGAACCAGGAAGTTGGGTCTCATCAATAACAAGAACTGTTCCATTGCTCAGTTGCAACTCCCCTTGTAACAGATCATCAGTTACATAATCTTTGAAAGGAGCAAAACGTTTCTGTGAAAGCAAATCAGGAGTGATGGTTAGGAGTTTGACCTGAAAACCACGAAAACAGAAAACATTCATGGTAAAATAAAAGCTTGAAACAATCACTTTTCCAATGGGAAGCTATTTAACGCATTAATAACACGCCGAATATTACTAATAGTTATGAGAAACTACTGCAGCGCTCGCTATAGATCGGTCAGCTACGCCTAAGCAAAAAAAAAGACATCAAGAAACGCCGAAAACTCGCATTTGTATTTGTGCTGTGCAGACCTGCCTCATCTGTGGTACCCTCGTCAGTGAAAATATCTTTGCACCCTTTTCACCAGCAAAAACCCAAAACACAGTTATTTTTAGATTGTAAAGAGTAGAATATTCGTTCCAATGAACACGGCCCGTAACATGTGTGGTGATGAAGACAGGGTATAGACAAATAAGGTATAGAAAAAAAGGTGAAATATGTGGCCAAACAAATAAGCATTTCGAAAAAATCACTAAATCACTGCATACTTTGTATCGGCCCTCGTATACATATTGGGATCGATGAATACCATAGCGGCTCTGCTAAATGTATAGCTCTATGAGTGGGGGAAGGGGTGAACCACGAAGTATTCCTAAATTGCAGCAGGAAACATCCAAACCAAAAGAAACAAAGACTAACGATACTGTAATGTATAAACGTCTAAAGTCCAAACATTAAATGTTGTGGAAAAGTGGTCTCGGATTGCAGGAGAGAATTTTAAAGAAGTTGTGTCACTGAATAATAGGATGACTAAAGAGTAATCCATAGCACATTATTAATAAAGTATAAAACATACCTTCGGCATCAGATGTTGGATCAACTCCACTATTGAATTAACTGCTTGTGAATCTTCAACGCCAACAATGTTTAGAGGCATAAAGCATAGTGGCGAACTACCATTTGGTCGAGAGTACCTTCAAATAACGTTAGCATATCGTGGAATTATTCCCAAAATCTAATTCTGTTAACTTGGGTATCAATAAACAATTGCGTTGTCGGAAAAGTTAAGGGCTACCGTGTTATGAAGTAGGCTCTCAACGACGACGCGTCCTACCTATCATAACTGAGTCGTCATCTACATGTTGAGATAACGAAAAAATATCTTGAAGATGCGCCGCGCCCCTTTATCGCCTATCACATAAAAAAGAATTCGAAAATCAATACAGAAAACTGAACAACAAATAGGTCAAAGTGGCAAAAACGGCAGGTTTCAAGCTATGAGCTATTTCTCTACCTAAATTTGAATCACCAGCATGTTTTGCTTTGCAGTTATTTAATGAAAGATATGTTATTATCCGCCGATGACCTTGCGTCTATCAACCTTTCAATGTTCAAGACTAAAACCACCACCTGTGTAGACGGGCAGACGGGTAGAATGATATCGCTAATACGCCTAGCACTCATCCACTTGCTGAAACACATCCTAGCCAATCTCATGAACACCGAAATATTCTTGCATCGTGTATGTAACTAGCCTAATAACAGCGCGTCAAATGACTCCTGTTTGCAAGCCATTCTCGAACCTCTCATGCAACATAAAGGGCTCTACACGACTAAACATCTCATAACCTTCCGGACGGAGTGCCTAAACTGCTCAATTTTCAGATGCCCTAGAAAATAATGCGCACAAACGAGTGTTGGTAATAGGACTTCGTGACAAACCTTGCCACTAGGTTCATGTCTAAGACGGAAACTCCAGTGATCGATCTCCAGTCATTACTCTACTGTCGATACATAGATGCTCGTTTTGCCATTCGCTCCACGTAAAACGAGATAGATAAAATGTTTTGGATTACTGAACGAACAGTCAGAGCACATCACATAACTCTACTCGAGAGGAACTAAAAGAAAACCGGCCTATAATTATGAACACTCAAGTTAACCTATCTGAAAAGTGGCTACATCACTAAGTGGCAGCGAAAGCCATATTATCTCCACTCTTACCCCATCCACACACAAAAAGTGAGCATGTGGGAGGCACATTTCGAAAAACCACAACTGTGTGCACAGAAAGAGAGAAGGAAGAATCCCTGAAATCAGCCAGGCAAAAATCATTTCCAATGGCTGCGAAACGGTCGCTCTTCGAGATAGGTGTAGAGGAAAAACACGGCCCACATGTGATAATTCTAGCAAGAATAAAGCGCCGTTTATCCTGCTTTTCATTTTCAACGACAACAGCACAGCTACAAAAGGTCCCTTAAAAAGGGCCAGAGAAATTGAAAGCAGTAACTGAAATACAAACCAACATTCTAAGATGTTAGCTAGTTCGTAACCGCTTGTACGGTCGTCTATGCACAAGTCAAAACTTCATAATTTGCCCAACTGTATAGCTGACGCCTCCATGATTTCGGACGCCGTTTATCTGATCTCTTGTAGAACGTGCGGGGACAATCGAAACCGGTAGACCATTCTGCGTCCGCACAGAAGAACATCTAGACTGTAAGCGTAAAGCAAACTTCACAGCACGTATGGGATACAGATACAAAGAGGAAGATTTCAAAGTAGAATTCACCTCGCTGGCACGAGAATCGAAAGCTTCAGAGCGTAAAACCCTCAAAGCATTGGAGATAAATTCCAAGAATCCAAAAATGAACCGCAGCGATCAGTGCTTCGCATGAAAGCACACAATATATCAGAGTGGAATTCTAACGTAAGAGGGAGGCATTAACTATCGATGTGAATCCTGTACGATTGGTCTACACGTGGAATACTCAGTGGAAGACTCGTAGAAAACGGTGGGTGAGCGATGAAACCGGTTTGCTTCCAATGCGATTGAAATTTATATGTCGTGGCTTTCATATGAGATTATAATGGTATTTGACGGTCTAGGTTGCAGATGACTTGACCCTGATCCTTCCCAGACTAATATGAAGACTAAGTCGCCCAACACGTTGAATATTGTGAATAAATAGTATAAATACAACCCTTTGGGTGTTTATCAAGGAAAATAAAACGCAGTGACCATTGGAACAATTGGCGGTGAAGCCATAGAAAACCAATTTTGAACCATTATTTGAGACGGCAGTATACCTAACAATATTTGGACAAGAAACAAAAACTTGTTTAAATTTTGGTTCTTTTAAAATTCAGAGATACACTATATGTTTTTCCTCCGAAAGCACAACAAAGAATGAACCAAAAGCATTTCTCCAACCCCAAAAAACAAAAAACTCCAAAAAGCAAACAATTTCTTGGAGACGATGTTGGAAGCCTCCGAATACGGGCTTCTCAGGACTGAAACGTAAAGCCCTATCCATATCAGCAACGTAGAGGTCAAACAGGAAATGTGTAGGGATCTGCACTATTTTTGATGGACGAAGGATTTTTAAAGTACTTTAGTGCCTCAGAAGGGCTAAATAAAAAAGTCGGCAGCAAAATGAATATAGACGGACGACCTAGGGTTTCCAAACTCACGTGGTTGATATAAGAAAGTTCACGAAAATCTCTGCACTCGCAGTGCTTCCTAGAACTGATGAAATATTCTTCACAAGATCAGATCGAAGTGATTGCTGGTCTACAAATGAAAGTGGGATCATACCATAAACAACGTGAAAAAAGAAAACACAAAAAATATTACAGTTTGAGGAATACGTAAAGTCCGGAGCAACGTGGGTCACTTCGCTGATTCGCAGCACATGTACATTGAAAAGTTTAGAACAGTTACTGAAAACGAAAAATTAACAAAAATTAGGGAAAACCTATGGACTACTACATTAGAACTTACTGTTCTGCATCTGTGTCCATTGGCATAGACAAATAACCATAAACATCGACAACTGTGTTAGGCTTGAGCTCGGAAGAATCATTATCGAGAACCTGAATAATTTTATTACGCACGCATTCTGATGCTTTCTAAGTGCAGAAACATATGCGATAAATTGCCTTAGCGACAAATTCCGATACCCTGACGGGAACAAGAGCAGCGCATTCTTCCATTTGCCCTAGAAAATATGGACGTAGTCTTGTGGGAAATAAACATCATAAATAGTATGGTATGATCCGTTAGCAAGAACTATGTGAACTGTCAAAGTAGCTTATGACGCAGCTTTTTTACTTTTTTTTATGAGACCCGTATTCACGTCTACTGTGCAGATCCTAGCACTTCTCACATTCGATTCGTTTCCTCGCATTCAGCATCCACGAAGATCTTCCAACTTTTTTATGTGTGGCTTCGGCTACTGCTTGAGGATTCTCATTTCATCTTGAACGTCGTAGAATGCTAGCTGAGTCGATTCTTCCTGGAGCCCTGAGATAACCGACCTAGAGCGCTCCCTCTTAGGTTGCAGAGTGATTTTTTCCCGAACAAGTCAGCTACCAATTTCTCAACCACGGAGGGATGAGAGGATTGGAGAGTCCAGAACGGCACCGAACTACCACCATGCTCGTGATGATCGACATCACTCCCACGGTGCTATTCGCTCATCATGACGAAGCTACGAAATGCAAACACGTTTGCGAATTCAGGAATGAAGTAACTCCTGTTAGTGTGCGCATCTGCAATATTGATAATCGTCTACACCTGGAAGGTTAATGAATGATAAAGGATATAACCGTCTACACCTGGAAGTTTAATGAATTTCGAAATTTCACACCTGCGTTTGGATTGCAGAGCGCCGTAGTGTGAGTTTGAATGAAATCGTTCAGCCACCAATCTACTGCCCCAGGAACCATAACCATTTTGTAGCAATTTCTGACAGCATGATTCGCACTGTCGATAATATCCTAAAGAAATGTCCACATTTACTTCAAAGACAATATTCTTCAGAAAATAAGCAGGTTCCCAGCATCAATACTGTATTGCCCCTACAGTAAATTGTGGTATACGAAGTGACCAATTTAATGACTTTTTTTATTTGACTCTTCTTCACATCTACTGTGTGGATCGTAACACTTTAGCACTCCATTCATTTCACTGCATCCCTCATCTACGAAGGTCTTCGGACTTTTCGCACGTGGGTTCGGCAACTGCTAGATAATTGTTGTTTCCTCTTTGAATATCGTTGAACGATGGTCAACTGAATTCTCTCTAGAACCCTGGGATTGCTAAGTCTGGTACCAATCTCCCGACCTCGGAGGTATACGAGGCTTGGTGAGCTCGTGGCGAGGTGGAACCAGCACCGCACCGTTTTGTTAATGAATGGCACCATTAGCATTGCATAAACCGTCTCTTAATGTCCGATATCTGAATTGTTAAATATATTTTTGTAGAATTTTGTTAACTCTTTTTAACAAGAAGTAAAAATTGTGATTTCGACTGCAGTCTCATCTTAACAGGATTCGACGCCACTCCCTAGATCATTCCCGTTGATGGGTGATTGCTAATGGCACTGGTAGCTAGAAAACTAGTTGAGAAAAAGGAGAAACGAACCTCTAGGTGTGGTGGTGAACGTGTTAGCCCCCGGAAAGGGTAAGATAGTGCGTTCGATCACCACCGCACACACTTGCGGTCCAAATTTTTGCAAACAACTCGGCACCATTGTTTTTGTTAACACAATTTTTCATTTATCCGCATTCATCATAACGCTTTAAAGTTGAAAATTTGATTTCCCTCAATCTATGTTGCTTCCCATAAACACTTAATGTAGTCCTATCAGCCCTTTTACCAGAATGAATCGGTGTGATATTAGCGGAATAACTTCATCGACCTTCTGGTCAGTTCGAACAATCAACGAGGACAGGAGAACGTTCCAGTGCATATCCATAACTTTTCGGCTAGTTATCGAACGACTTTGTGTTGTTTCATTTTAATCAATACTTTCAACTTGTTGACTTTCAGATAATCATAAAATTCCATGACCTTTGATGACCGAAACAGATGAGCAGGTGAGAGAAAGGAGAAACGAAAGACTCGCATGGTGTGGTGGTGAACACGTTAGCCTCTGGAAAGGAGTAATAACGCGTTCGTTTCCACCGCATACACCTGCGGTTCGGAGTTTTGCACATATCTCAGCAACATTGTGGTTCTGTCCCACAGAACACCCTACCATAAAAATTGTAATAGGCAGTAATAAAAAAGTTAACTCCATGATCTTCCTTTGCGATACTTCCACCCAATGTTTAAACTTAGGTAACAACCTTAACATAATGGGAAAATGACTGAATTGAAGATCTACTACTACAACAACAGGAGGAAGCAGATAGGAAAACTCCAGATTCTATAGAGGTTAACAGCTGTGATAAAGTATTATAGCAAGATGACTATAGCACCAAGAACAATGCAAATAAAAATGCAACGCACCGTAGCGCTTTCCCCAAACGTGTCCCTGAAACAACCTGTAGCTTCTTTTGTTTCTGAACCACTTACTGTAGTATAGCTGATAGGAAAGTACTCTGTAATCGACACAAACATGTGAATTTTCCAAAGAAACGATAGAAAAAAGAACACTCACCTGGCGCTAGCGTATTTTGGACCATGCAGCGAGCACACACGAGATAACCAGGCAGTACTTTAGAAGTGTGGAGAGAGACAAACAGCTTCTGAAAACAACACTTGGAATAAAGGAATAAAAGGAAAAAGACCTCGATTAATCCTTTAGCGTGCGCCATGCATTTGATTTGATTACGCAACGTTTGGAAGTAACTGAATGCATTTCTGGCCTTTACAATGACCCGAGGTGGCCTACCGATGTTTCGAGCCACTGCTGCTATCCTCTAAGACAAGTTTGGTACCAATTTTCCGACCAAGGAGGGATGCAGGCCTAGTGTGCCAGAGGCGCGGGGGCTGACTGATCCAATGTGCCTGTTGCAGAGCGCCTCCAACCACTGCGCTACACGCACTCCTAACACCCGGAATACCGCAATGGAATCCATAGTTACGAAACCACATACACTGTCCTCGAAGAAGTCGCTGACGTCACCCATGAACTGACTTGGCGAATTTCTGTATGCGCCACTGTTCTCTGAAAGGAATCTACTTCAACAGTAAAATCGCACAGTGGAATTAGTTGGAAATTAGAAGTTAACGAGAAATGAAAAGCTCGTTTTCTTCACAAAAACCTACTCTCCCACAGCTCCTCAACAACTTTCATGAAATCTCTCGATGCCGTTTCTGGAGCGGGGGCCATGCTATCGACCTGGAAAAAAAGACTGTAAGGGAGACAAATCTGGCAAGAGAATGAAGTGCATAGCACCGAACTAGAAGTAAGAATTCCGAAACCAGTGTTGCAGTGAGCAATTGGAACGGAAAACAAGAAAAAGAATTGCCCGGGCAGAAAATCCAAAGAACAGTCATCCACGGTGAAAGAGTGAACGCGGGATACAAGTTGGTTTTGCAATAGTGCTATACAAGAGCTAGTCATGAATGACGATACATCCACAGAATCTTCCGGAACATTCGTTCGTCTCTTATACGGAATTTATTGTGGACCCTGACAAGATAAAACACACATACATGAGAAACATGTAAAGTCTTTGAGCTTACAATAACTCGCACAGCCATTTTTTCCGTCATGTTTTCTCACCACAAAGGATGAGATTGGGAATGAAAAAATCCGAAAGCTTATCCTATTCACAAACATGTATTGCCAGTTACCTGTTTAATATTTCGATGAGAGTAGTGATCGGACTGAGGGATTATTGTGACCTACACAATGAAGTTATCCACGAAATCCTGTCCTTAATCGACAAGAGCGCAGACGTTTCTCATGTGAGCGATCTCTAACTAGCAGCCGATAAGTCTCTAAGCGCTGGGTCCACAGCTGTGGGATAGCTGGACAACACAGTGACCTCGGCACATTCACTTCTCGATGGATTCTTTTGTTACGCAACCTTAAGCTGTAGAAGGATAAACGATAAAGCTCTCGGCGCCAATCAATCCTTGAGGAATACGCCACGAGTTCGACTTCATTAAGCATCGTTGGAGGTGACCGAATGCATATCTGGCCTTTGCAATAAATCGCGATGGCCTACTGATGTATTTAGACAGCGCTGCTATCCTCCCAGACAAGTCAGGTACGAATTTGCCAACCTCGGAGGGACAGAGGGCTTGGTGAGCCTGGGTCGAAGGGATCGATCTGTGTACTGAAGGGCGCCTCCGACCACTGCTCTATACGCGCCCCTAAGACGAAACGTACAAGAGAAAAAACAGATGGTATACTGAAAAAAAGACTGCAGAACGTCGCCCTTACTGGAGTGGAGTCAAGATGGCACAACTACTCGCAGCGGTTCGATGCCAACTGAACCAACCCTGCGAACACCGATGAGCTCGCGGACGCTGCAAACGGGAAAACTCGTCCGCAATAGGATCATTGCAGCTTCGGTTCTTCCAACAATTAACGACGAATTTTCGATAGTTAGAAGACGTCTGGGGTTTAGAAAAATCAAAAACATACAGAAGAGGATACAGATAGAACTAGCTGAGAGACATGCAAAGCGAAGGACCCGGATGGTGTAGTGGTGAATTGCGCTGCTCCCCGGTAAGGACAACAGCGCGTGTTCGTTCTCCACTGCATACACCTGTGGTCCGGAGTTTTGCAAATATCTCAGCATTTCATACAGAAGAGGCTTTGTTTTAGACATATTGGAGTATGCTATTTGGATACTTGGACGGCCCGTCTTCATTGGTCATGCGAGTCCCGGAACAATTTCTATTTCTTCGCAGTTCTGCTGGCTTAGCTGTTCTGGTTCCCTGATGTCCCGAAGTAAGCGTAACCAATGTTCTCCACAAGCCGTCACCACCCCAGGCAGTCGCCGCTCTTGTATATTAGAGAGAGATTTACCACTATTCGACTAGTTTGATACCAGGACGGTCGTGGATCTCGGTATTGGTTTACTCATAGCTGGTCTTCCTTATGGAAACGCGAAGCTCCTTCTCAGCTTGGGAAGCTCTGCGGAGGTGATGAATCCCCCGTTATACATCGCCACTCGACACCCAGGAGCACCTCCGAGCCACAACGAGGCGGTAAACCGTTGAGAGAGAATGGATACGATTCTGTTCTTATGTGCAATAACCATAGTTCACCCAGACATATTGCTGTCAACATACGAAAGTGTTTCTAACTTATATTTCACCTCGGTATTCCTTGTATCCTCCCATTCTGCAGCAGCTGTTTCCCCTGTATCTGACTATACCATAATGATGGACCATCATAACAACTGGAAATGAAGAAGTGGAGAATTACTGGTTGAAAACTGAACATTGTAAGCCTTACGTAAGAGTCGATGCTGGTATTTTAACAATTTCTGACGATTCCGGAGAACTAGGAGAGTCACAAATTTAGCACTTTTAAAAATTGTAGAAATGACCACTGTTCATCCCTCTGAAGAAAAGTGATAACTTTTCTAAAGCGTGATTTTCATTCTATGCTTACTTAGAATTCCAACTTCTAAACAGTGTAGTCTTTATCGTAGTAGAAAATGAAATCCTCTATATTTTTGGCGAACATTTCTAGATTTCAGAAGCTTTTGTTTGAAGTAATAAACCTTGATGTGAGCTGGGGTAAGCTTTTTGAAAGGTGTAACTGCCTTCAGGTATCTATGAACTGGAAATGGTGACCAATCAGTAAGTTCAGTTGTTGACAACACCAATGAGTTGGAAGCATTTTATACATTTCTGAACGAAGAAAGCATAGTCCTTTTTGTACTACTCCTGATCAGTATTCTAGAAGGTCGGGTTACATAACGGGCTATAGAGAATATTCCTCGTGAAATATGCACCTCCATCCAGCATATTTCTCCAAAGAAATGTTCAAAATGTAAAAATACTATTTATGCCAAAAAACCGTTCAACTGTTAGATTTCTCCATGAAATGTTCAGCAAAAATAATGAGGAGTATCGTCTCCTCAAAACGAGCGAGAATCCACTGGGAAATTCTTGGTGGAAATGAATGGAGAAGTTTTTGGCTGCAGATTCAGACCACATAGAGTGGATACAGAAGAATCAAAAGTATAACATAGGCTAATGTCCTTAACGTTACAAATCTGAACTAGAAAGCGAACTTGAGAGAAATCTGCTTGTGTTTTAATTCAAGAAACATAGTACAGGGCGTGACAAATATTGGTACTGTGAATGCAGTTGTACTGCACGATGGCAACTACACTAAAAGCAGTCCTGCTCGTGGGCCGTTGGAACGTAATTTCGAGCTAAGAATTTTCATTCAGTCACAGTCCTGACACAGGTACGACGATTCCTCATCGATTCGAGTGCACACGAGCGAGAACTTGGCTCATCAACGGAAAAGAAAAGTGGGACTAGCTACAGCTACCTGTATTTCTATCGATCAAACACGAGGTGTTACATTATTTCTCACAACGGTAAAGCTAACGTTACTGTGATTTTACTTTCTTCAGAGCCTAGGAAGGTCCGGTTGACTACAACTTTCTCGGCCAAAACCTCCATAACCAAACCGAGAACAGTCCAAATCGAGACCTCAATCTCTATGGAAACAAAAACACCAAGCTTTGCCATTGCGTTTATGTCTAATGTAAGAGCACCAGTGACCGATCTCGGGCCATTACTCTCCTGTAGATTTATAGATGATTATTTTTTCATTTCTTCCACACAAGAGGAAGTGGACAAACGTTTCGAATTATTGAATAAACAGTCAGAGTACATTAAGTTCACACGAGAGAAACCGAAAGGAAAGTGGCTTCCATTTCAGAACGTTCAAATTAGCTTGCCCGAAAACGGCTACGTTGCGAAATGGTACCGAAAGTCAAATAGCGAAAGCACACTAGTTCATTACCTCTCCTCTCGTCCATCACACACAAAAAGGGCGCTTGTAAGAAACATATTTCGAGAGGCCATCAATGTGTGAAAATGAGTAGAGCAGAAGGAGGAATCGTAGACATTAGCGAGGCAAATAACAACTTCCAGTGGCTGCGAAACCGTAGCTCCTCGAGATAGGTATAGCGAGAAATCAAAGCCCTCAAACGATAAATGATGAGTTCGGGCACGACGTACTTAATCACCTGCAGTGTGGGGATGAATACGTTGGCCAAACGGATAGTCCACTCTAATACAGTTGCTAGTCGAAAATAGACCTTCGAGTCAGTTCTCGGCACCGAATAATCACTAGCTTTTAGCAGAATGCTCGACTTCATGAAAAAAAATGCCACGCGGGACTTTTCGTTGTTATCACTGGGAAATTCCTCAAACTTGGGTAATTAAACCGTTTACATGCACAAATGAAACATCAATACAACACTAATATCGACGGAGAACTACTGGCAGACAGATAAGGCAAGTTCAAAACTATGAGGTGCTGTACCTACTACTGAAGTGAGGCTTACGAAGGCATAAGAGTATTGTAAATAATATTATTACAACACTAGTACTATGATAACATCAAATTGATAACAATAACAAGTAAGGGGATACGAACGATGGCGCCACACTGGCGCGTACGGTGGCCCAGATGCCGAGAGCTAAAACAACAGAAGAGTGAGATGCAGACGAGCCCTGCATTAGGTTAAGCTAGAGATCGTATGTAGAGCGGCTGGGTGCACTTGCACATTAATCGATGAGGATGGTAAGTTACCTAAGCATCGATGGTGGAAGTGACTACGAACGAGATGAGACATCTGCGGAGCACGGTCAGGCGGCTGCTCTTGGATAACGATATGTCTGCAACGTGAAGTTTGAGCATCGGTGGGTGCCAACATTGCCTAAGAGATTATAGGCCAGAAAGATAACGACTGAGAAATGATAAGCCTATAGCGGCTTAACAAATACGCAGCATAAGTTGGCCGGTTAGCGGCTATGTACGCATGGCGTACAGTGTGGGAGGAAAGGTACATGCCACCGATGGCGTCTCAGACAACGCATTTGAGGGTAGCCGCCGCTACCGACAACACACCGCAGACCAATTGATAAACAATGAACATTGACACGAGGATGAGGATCAGGATGATGATGAGGATACACTGGACTTATAGAAAGCGTGACGTAGTGACGGTGATGTTAAACTAATGTCCTATTCGCAACTGTCATTTAACAATGATATGATGAAGTTAATGTACAATAATGACTACGTGCTTTTCATCAATAAGCAGACACGAGGTTGTTAATATAGAATTTATTAGAACACAATTGCTGACGTTTCGGCGGTTTCGCCTTCTTCAGAGC